CTGCTTATGGCAAGTCCTGCAGGGTTGGGTGCTGGAAGTCCTGGGTGTAGCTGATTCAATATTGTATGGGGCCCAGGCTCTGCTTATGGCAAGTCCTGCAGGGTTGGGTGCTGGGAGTCCTAGGTGTAGCTGATTCAATATTGTATGGGGCCCAGGCTCTGCTTATGGCAAGTCCTGCAGGGTTGGGTGCTGGGAGTCCTGGGTGTAGCTGATTCAATATTGTATGGGGCCCAGGCTCTGCTTATGGCAAGTCCTGCAGGGTTGGGTGCTGGAAGTCCTATATCATCATGTTCATTTTAGCTGACATTTGTCATCATGATGTTGTTCCCACAGGTTCGCTGCAGGAAGGTTATAGGACCACTATAGGCACCCAGACCACTTCAGCCAATGAAGTGGTCTGGGTGCCAGTTCCAGCTAGGGTTAACCCTGCGTGCTGTAAACATAGCAGTTTCAGAGAAACTGCTATGTTTACATATGCGATAATCCAGCCTCTAGTGACTGTCTCATTGACAGCCGCTAGAGGCGCTTCTGCGCTTTTCACCTTCATTTCCATTTACTTTCTTTATTCCCGAAACTCACTTCAGACGAATCACCTAATTTTATTCTAACTGTATTTTTATATTAATACATATATATAAAAATACACTTAGATATATATATATATATATATATATATATATATATATATATATATATATATATATATATATATAATTTCATTCAATGTATATTCCCATAACGACCGTACTACTAAAAAACGGTTGTTAAGGACCGTGGACATACCGAGTACGACTGCGGCAAAAAAGGAGCCCTGGACTTACCTGGGCCAGCGATCTGCGGCGATTACAGTCGAGGGGGGGAATGCCGGAGACCCCAGCAGTCCTCCTGCAGCAGCTTCGGCCACCCCGGCCCTCCAGGGCCATGTGATCACCATGATCACATTGCCGCAATAAGAATCTAGTAGATGCCATCGGGGGACTTTCTGAACTGTTCCCCAAGCTGCTAAAAAGTAAACAAATTAAAATATATATATCTATATATATTACACATATATCTCAAAACACAATCATAAAAGAAAAAAAAATAATATATATGCATTATATATGTAGAATATATTATAAAATGCTTTAATTATAATATATTATACATACATAGGAAAGTGTGTGTGTGTGTGTGTATATATATATAGATTAAAAAAAAATTATAAAAAACTAAAACGCTAACTTTGGCCAGCGTTTGTGGCTAAGTGGCTACTACAAAAGATTGGACATACCCCATATTGAATACCATGGGTTGTCTACTTTTACAGTTGGTATGCCATGATGGGGTTCATTTTCATTCCTGGGCTGCTATACGATCTCAAAGGCAACATAGGCCCAACAAACCAATCTGGCAAATTTCAATGTGCAAACACGGAAAAGGGGAAAGCCCTACATTGACCCCTGTAAGTTTGCAAAAACCCATAAAACCTGTACATTGGGGGCACTGTCGTACTCAGGACATGTTGCTGAACACATATTGGGGTGCTCTTTGTCAGTAACACATAACCGGAACTGAGAATCCATGCCTAAAGTACAATGTGAGAGAAAAATAACACAAAAAAATTACTACCCAAAAGGTTGACTAAGACTGGTGGTAGAATTAGTGCATGGAAAATGTTAAAATACCACCATTTGAAATATCCTAGGGTGTCTAATTTTCAAAAATATATGGTTTGATGGAGGTAAATTACATTGGCCGGCTTCAAAGATGTTCCAAATCGGACATGGGTGCATAGAAACATAGAATGTGACGGCAGATAAGAATCATTCGGCCCATCTAGTCTGCCCAATTTTCTAAATACTTTCATTAGTCCCTGGCCTTATCTTATAGTTAGGGTAGCCTTATGCCTATCCCATGCATACCTTAAAGGACCACTATAGTGCCAGGAAAACATACTCATTTTCCTGGCACTATAGTGTCCTGAGGGTGCCCCCACCCTCAGGGTCCCCCTCCCGCCCGGCTCTGGGGAAAGGAAAGGGGTTAAAACTTACCTTTTTCCAGCGCCGGGCGGGCATCTTTCCGCCTCCGATCCTCCTCCTCTCCTCCCATTCGGCTGAATGCGCGCGCGCGCACATTCAGCCGGTCTCGTAGGAAAGCATTTACAATGCTTTCCTATGGACGCTTGCGTGTTCTCACTGTGATTTTCACAGTGAGAATCACGCAAGCGCCTCTAGCGGCTGTCAATGAGACAGCCACTAGAGGATTTGATGGCTGGATTAACCCATTTATAAACATAGCAGTTTATCTGAAACTGCTATGTTTATAAAAAAAATGGGTTAATCCTAGAGGGACCTGGCACCCAGACCACTTCATTAAGCTGAAGTGGTCTGGGTGCCTAGAGTGGTCATTTAAGTCCTTTACTGTGTTAACCTCTACCACTTCAGCTGGAAGGCTATTCCATGCATCCACTACCCTGTTGCCGCTCTAATTTAAGACTATGTCCTCTTTTTGTGGTAGTTTTTCTTCTTTTAAATATAGTCTCCTCCTTTACTGTGATGATTCCCTGTGGCAGACCCCCCTGCCTCTGGATTATTTGAGACTGTTTCATCTGTTTGTTCGCCAGTCCCCGCTTGTTCGCGTGTTTCTCTGGTTGCATTCCCTAAAAGACAAACTAACTACCGAATGGCGGGCCACCCAGCAGGGAAGTGTGCTGCTTGTTAACCTTTTTGACTTTGTTAACACTGTGGTTAACCGCAGCCACTTCCAACTCCCGAACGGTCGGCGGGGTGGTTGTCATTCGTATGAACGAACACGTGGTGGCGGCCATCTTGGACAGTCGAATGCTTAGCGGTGTTCGTCATCAACCACATGGAACTAATTTCAGACACTGTTTCCCACAAACACCACACTGGACACCACAACCACCGTAGACTTCGCAACTGCCGTAGCTTAACTGGAATCTCGCCGTCTTCCTTCCACCCTGGATCAACATCTGACATCCAGGACCGTGTGGGGAAGACATCTCCTCCAGGAGAGCGGAACAGGAACAGCTCTCAAAAGAGCTAAGTGATTAGAACCCAGGGGAGCATACAGAGTATAGCAATCTCCAGTGTGATTATAGCAATTCCCCTCCAATCACGAGACAAGACTACGTGTTGAGGATCAAGTTGGAACTCAAGGTTTAATGGGGCACACTGGCCTTTTACACAAGTTTTACAACAAAGGTGACGACCAGGTGGACCTAGTTGGGCACCGAGACACAAGATTAACAAGCCAATAGAAACAGTAACAATGAACAACACTCCCACATACATTACACAATACCTCCCCTCTGCCTGTGATACAATTAAAGTAGATAATACAATAACCCAATTAACCACAATCAGAAAAACACTA